GTAGTTTTGTTGGTTTGTGTGGGTGTGGATGTTTGTGTGTGACATCAATTGCAGAAGGCTTGAAGAGTCACGCAGTGATTTCATGAGACATCCTTTTTAGCCTTTTCTTTGTGCTTTCGTTGGAGGCCTTTGACTTGATAGGTTGGCTTGGAGGTAGATGTCGTTCGATGGAGTTCCGTGCATTTCGATTCTTATCGAGGATCTACATGAGATAACTTTCTTCAGTTTTAATTGAGTTCAGAGTGCTGGAATGTCGGCTGGACCTCTTCAGTAGTACTTGTATACAATTCCTTTGTGTGTTATTGGATTGTTGTTGTTGTTGTTGTTGTAACTGAGTATGTGGTCTGTGTTTCTGAGTCTCTATAATTTACCTGTGGTTGTTTACTTTACGGAGACGTCCAATAATGTGATTTCGTTCTTGCATTCACTTGAACACAAATTGCACTACTTCCCAATTTATGTAAAGATCTCCACGTTTCAGCCAGCATGTATTTCTGCTTCGCCCTTGTTAATTTAGGTGACTAGGATCGACGTCGATGAGAATAACTTTTACAATGTTGGATGGATTTTTGTGTGGGTGTGTGTGTGTGCGCGCTTAGTGATAGTAACCGGCACAGTAAAAAATCAACCGCGCGTTTTCTGAATCCCTTATCCCATCATCAATCTCCGCTTCCTATTCATTCTTTTGGTGGCTACACTCCTCTGAGAAGTTCAAAACTCAAGCACACACACTGTTGGCTATTTCGCTGATGTTGGCCGTCGATGTTGGTGTCATTTCCTCTAGAAAAAGGCAGAATTGGTTGAATGTCTCATTATCATTTATCTCAGCCAGATATCTCTGAAATACACGTGTCGATTGTCAGCTCACCTCACTAGCCTGATACGAGGCGTCGCACATATCTCAAGAGTTGATAAGTCGTTTTATCAAATCTAATTAAGAATCAATTATCATCAAGTAGTCAAGTTCTTCAGTATGATGAGACAAAGATTTGCCACAAATACCTCCCCCTCCCCCTCCTGCTCCTCCTTGTTCTGTTTTTTTCAAAGAATCATGAGGTGATGCATTCGTAGACTGGACGATATATATATATATATATATATATATATATATTCACCTACATCTATTTCATCAAACACAAATGCCTACATACATCAGGTTGGGATAGGCGGAGTGGAAACACAGGATTCAGCCTTCTGTGACGTTACCATAATAGCAGTGAGTCCATTGATTAATTTGCCAGTTGAGATAACCATAGATTTTGAAGTCTGCGATTTAAAGCGAGGCATAGTAAGAGCAAATGCACAAATGTTTGTTTCTCTAAGATGTGTCATTCTGAAAAAAAACATTTAAGATGAACTTGGCCACAAACGACGGAGGGAGTGAAATAGATATCTGCTGTATAAACCCCATTGATTGACCTAGAAACAAAATGACTACTATGTGATGATGTCAGTGGTCTGAAGGGTACTAACATTAATCAGTTGAAACGATGTGATTTGGATAATGAACTGTCTACTTACTACATATGTATATATATGCGATAATGTCAATCCACATAGTTCAGGCATAGTGTTGGCATCAATCTATCTATCTATCTCTTAAAGAATTCATAATACACATTGAATGTTCCGTTCGCCTTTAACAATACGATGTTTAGACGAATAGATGGCATTGCGATGGCATCATCAATGGGTCGACTGCTGGCTTTCTGACTGTTTGATGAAAATGCTCGAGAACTGTCAACTTAGTCGAACAATCAGTTGATTTGATATTTATAGAAAGAAGGTAGTTAGACGACACTCCCGTTATGTGCTGCAAAAAAGTACTTGTTGATGATATCTTGTTTATCATGGAAACGGAATCTGAAATCAGTATTCTATTTCTTGATCCATGCTCTAGTAGACAGAATGACGGATCTTTCAAAATAGCCGTCCACCAGAAACGTATATATGGAATGGGCAACTATCAAAGTCTTATATTTGGGTACCTATCTCCAGAAAACGGAACCAAAATGATTCGCTTGTGCTTTAGGTTGAGAAACACTTGTATTTCTAATTGTGTTGCCTCAGAACTCTACTTCCTAAAAGCCTTTTAGTCACAAAGGCTGGTTACCGGGACCGAAGTATTGTCAGAAACACGAAACTGGTCACCGAATCCGTTCCAAAGAAAGACGTATGCATGAAGTGAATTAAGAATTCAGAGGTGATCAGGCTTCAGATATGCTTGAACATCATCTGTCTAAATCGGTCAGTAAGACGCTTTTCACAGCAAAATTACGAATGACGTTCACCAGCCATAAGATTTTTCTCCATCTCTGTGAAAGTCCAGATCCAGCTTGTTTGACCGACTCCTTGTGAAACTATCAGTACAGTACATCTGCTCATATGAAGTAAGGTATATTGGCCGAAGCCAGAGAACGCCACTTTCCACATGGATACAAGAGCATATTCCAACAGCATGATTTTGAAAAAGAGAAATGAAGCCAGCCTGTGTGTAGCTTTATTCTAGAACACTCGATTGGTTCCTGTGTCACTCTCCTGACACTGACCATGATTCTGAGATCATCTATCGAATTCCTGCCTAGTTGACGGCCAAGTGTTTTTTCGTTATAAACTTCAGCGTATAGCAAAGACCTTGGCTATTCGTTCACAAATTCTGTTTTTATTATTAACATCACTTTTCTCACTTTGAGGTGTTCCCGTGTTATTCTACTTGGCCTATTTATCATTCTGATCCAACAAAATTTCTGCAATACTTAATTCTCTTATCGAATTTCACACCATGTGATGTGAAAATTTATACTTGCCTACTAATCACATAATTTTAAGCCCCCTTCTATAAACAAACATCTCTGCATCTTTCATCACCGACGATGATATTCTTAATTGATTGAGGTGGACTGGATTATACATCAGACTGTGAGGAGCAAGGATAACTGAATACGCTGTACGCTGACCTATAAGAAGACACTAGAAGATGTGAATTTCGCCTGTGGATGGTCACGCCTGTCTAATGTCACAAAAACTCACTCAAAGGTTTACAGGCGAAAACTGCCAATAAACTGGCTGACGAATAAGCGAAGTTAGGACCTCAGGTGAACATAGAGAACGTGTAGACAGAGGTGGTGAAGATGACCAATGGCACCAATTCTCTGATCCGTATGGTAGCACTGACTTCAGATTGCATTTGAAATTCCCGATCTTATTTTTCATGCTGAGGAGTGCTGTTCATCTCCACACAGGCTTGACGAGAGTAATCACAACTTGTCTTGCTTTCCTGGAACTCTCCTGGATGATATCCTCATCTGTTTCGTCCTGTTTCCTGTTGTTGAAACGATGCTTACGAGGCAGGTCAGTAAGTAGGTAGATAAATGAAGTTGCTTCTTTCAGATTACTCCCATTTGTACTGATGCCTGTCTATTGTTGTTGCTGTCGTTGTCACTGTTTCCCAGGAATCTTCATCATCACAACCCCGTTTTCTCTATATTCACCTGAAGTCATATCACATTGTTGCTTCTTTAGTTTGTTCGAATCATGATGAAACATCCAGGGTTAAGGTACGTTTATTAGCTGTGTTCAACTTATTTACACTGCCAATAAACTGAAAGGCGTCCTTGACGCTGTCCTTCACTAGCTGATTATTCAAACGATTCAGTAACTACACTGGCCTAGCCACTTCGGCATCTGATGTTAGCGTGATCCTGACATTTCTAGCACAGGAACACTCTAGGGGAATACCCCTGATATACAAACTCTCGGTAGACCTCACATGCGTTATACCTGGTGATACATGAGGGTTTTGGGAGTTTCGCATGTGTTTTCCTCGAGTGAAATATTTACTTATATCTCGTTCTTCCACAGTTTCCGCAGTTTGATCTTCCGTCTCCTTTCGGTTTGTGAAAGAAGTTTCTGTTGTCCTCCAGTTTGAAAAATTCATCTTGTTCACGTATTCATATCTGTACCACTTATGAGGATGGATGGCACGTGTCTTATCGCGTGCGTTTGGTAATGACTATGTCTCTATGAAGCCCGAGTCTTTTAGCAGCCTATCAATGCTACTCTATGCTTAGGTATTATACACAATGGACTGTAGGCTTTTTATTCTGCCTACGACTGATCGTAGCAGTAGTCAACCAGAATTGATCTAATTTATCGTTTTTTATCTTACAAAACGGTGAAAAATTAGCCGACTGAAATATACACCGACTAGGTGTTTCAATCGACAGGATGATATGAGAAGCTGGAGCTCGCTACCCCACTGCTACTTCTGAGGGGCAGAAAAAGAAACCGGAGAGGGAAAAGACGAGAGTCGTCTGAAAGTGTGGTGAGAGCAGGCTGCTAGCCGATTGGTTGGCACTAATCTACGTTAAGGTCTAGGTCACTAATATGGGCCGTGAGAAAATATGAACAAGCCTGAGTCAACAACCAATCACAGCAAAGTTAACGTGGCAGAATATGATTCGCAGAGAGAACTCTATTTGTCAAGGAATCCCGAAACAACCAATCAGAAGCCTGCGTTTGTCTACCTAAACAACCAATCAGATGACTGCGCTTGTCTATAATAATGTAGTTGAAAGATGTATAAATACGTGTTGATTTTCATAATAAAACGATCTGTTGCCTGGCCCTTGTCTTCTGTTGTTACAAAAGGAATTCAATTTTTTTAATGTTTATTATTATGTCACACAATTGATATTCATACAATGAAACAATAAATCTCATCCAAATGTGATATGTTATTCATTATTCTTTCAAAAAAGGAGGAGCAGCGCCTCTTCCTCCGATGAAAAGCTGAATCCACTAGTCATTTTACAAGGAGGGATGGCGAAGGGAGGGAATTACACATTGAATTAAAAATAAATCTTGGAATGAGACATTTATCCAAACACTTCTTTCTGAGTAGGTCATCATTTTTGATGCGAGATGCTGAGTGTTAGTCATGTGAAGGATTGTGCAGATTGTTGGGGGACAAGGGCGTGGCAGGTGGCAGGAAGTATTTTTTACTCGCTTGACTCTTGACTTGAACGTGTAAAATGCTTTTTTAGAAATTTACTGAAACTCGCCTTGGTCACCGTTGGTATTTTCAGTGTGTTCACTATGCTATTTGTATTTGTAGGTGACTTGGATGAACTAGTAGCCATCAGTAGGCTGGATTGTAATGGGTTCACTCTTCGATCTGTAGGTAATCGAGGACTTCGACCACGTTGTTCACTCTCATGTAAGTGGCCAATCAACAGGACGAAGAGATCAGCTACCATGTGATTTAGGGATGCAGATACTTCAATGAATTTGGCTCCATGCATGGTGGCCAGATGACGACCTTCTGTTAGATCGGAGAGAAAAAAACAAGCACAGAATAGAGGAAATCGATTACATAATAGTTAACTAAACACAGAATAACCAGGAATTCGAAGATCAAAATCTTTTGAAGCATACTCACCACTAAATATAGTTAAGTCTATCTGTTTTCGATATAGGACTTTTTCGGCGATGTTCAGCAGTTCAAGTCACCACACTCCCTCCATATAGCACACAAAGCAAGTGAAGAAAGTAGAAGAAATGCATGATAGAGAGAGACAGTAAACAGGGGTGTGAGACACCACTGTGCGTTGGTGGCACAGTGGTTAGGACTCTCGCCAACCATGCACATGGTCCGGGGTTCGAGCCCACGCCGACGCACACCTGATATCTATGGTCGGCCTGGGAAATTTGGGCTACCGATATCCATGCTGAAAATTCCATACTTGTACCAAAAATACAGTGTGGAATCAAGCTGTAATCAAAAATAAAAATAAATAACATAGTAATGAAGAACGACGTAGTTTCATTGGAAATCATAAGTCACAAGGAGTGGATGCATCTGCGCCAGCCAGCCAGCCATTGAGAACGATGAATTTGAGCCATATCAACAATTGTTTCCAACCATTGGTTTTACCGTCCCGAGGACCCTAACCAGTCAGGAAGTCTACATCTTCTCACGTGACTGGCTTGAACTATCTAACTAACTGTTGTGAATTTCATTGACTAGTGCCATGTTTTGTTTTGACCAACACTGCTAGCTCTTTTCAAGCCTGACCCTATATCAGCTAACATTGCCCGTTGTCGAGGAAGGCAATGACTAGGCGTATGTAACACATGATCTAGCCATCTCAGTCGATGTAATTTCACAGCCTCGTTGATTGATTTCCCCTCCCATCTACCTAGCACTTGACGGATGCCTAACCTCAATATTTCTCATCTCATTATACCACCTAAGAGATGTAGATGATACTTTTGTGGCGCAAAAACGAGATCTATACAGTTCATTCTTTGAGAAAATGAAATGTCTGTCTCCTAGAATCCAGTTGACTTCGGAAGAAGGCAGAATCAAACGACCTCGGTAAACTACAATTTCTGGACTGCTTGACTGGTTAAGAAGAGGGGAAACGGACATTTTAGCACATCTCTATACATTCAGGAATAAAACCAACTCCAACCAACAACGAATATATAGACTTTGGATCATCACACTCCATCAGCGCAAAAGTATCACTTATTTCAAGTCTTCTCAGACAAACACACTCTTCGATTTCAACGAATGAGAGAGAAAGAGAAGACGAAATATCAATCAAACATTAGTGAGACTCTCATGCAAAACAGCTAGCCACAGAACATCATCAACCAAATCAACACCAACAACATTCAATAAGCTGGAAAACGTTTTCCGATACCATGGATGGGTCTCATTAGTTGTCATTCCACATAGATCAGAGATGTCAGACGATGGATATCGGAGGAGTACTCAGTAAACAACAACAAAACATCAGAGACTCACGTACTACAAAGCAACTTTGTCCATGCAAAAGACCAGCCAGGGACCAGGGATTCTCTATCAAATTGTGTCTGCAAAATAAAATGCTTGTGATGTGATGCAATACACGTCGGGGGACAAGCAGCATCACACAGGTATCAAGATCACAAGGAGTGATGAACACCTGTTCAGAGCATCTGTTCAACCACCGACAAACAAATCTATTTTTAGACTAGAAAGGCTTGAAACATCATCAGACAAAGGTCGTCTACACGATTCACTATGGAATCAATCAAGTCACAAAATTGATTTTGACAAGATTGAAATCATCATCGTCATCCAGAAATAGTTACAGAAATCACAAAAGTATGTCTGATATCATCAGAAGCATTTCATATCATCATCATCATCGTCAAATGGAATCTGAACTGTCTGAACAGGAATGATGGACTAAAACAGAATTTGACCTGGTTACAACACAATACCTCACCTCCTACACACACACACACACAATGAAAAAGTCAACAACACGAATGTATGTGATAAGCGATTTCATTATGTAATCACACGCTGCTTTTGTATAATTTGATACACTCTAGTCAAATCCAACAATCTACACACACACACACACTTGGTTGGTTTTGTTATCTTTACCAATTGGTCAACTTGACAACGCGAAATGACTCCACACTGAAGGATGAAGACTGAGCTGTCATTGTACATAAGCTGATTTGATAATACATTTTGATAAAGTGCTATGAGCATGTCAACAACAACAACAACAGCGAAACGTCAGTGTAGAAACGACGAGTGTATCGTTTGGCTCATTTTCACTCATTCATTCAATCATTCATTGGAAAATACAAAAAATTCGCCTTTATTAAAATGATTATCATATACTCCATCGAATGCTTGAATTTTTTCAAACTGTTAAAAGTGAACCTGGTTTTGACAAAAATGGAGGATGACCACCTTGTTGTTAGTGGAAATGACAATTGAATCGATTTGATAGACAGACAGACAGACAGAGAGCTCTTTCAAAAACTGCATTCCCAGATGACAAAGTAATAATAATAATTGTTGAACGAACTGCACTTCACAGTTAATCATTTGTAGACCGAAATTCGAAAAGAACATTCGAAAATGAATAATAATATCTATTCAGCCAGGTGTATGCAGATGTTAACTTTTGGTAAGGCTACACAGATTCTAGTCCTATCATCTCACTATCACGTAACACTAACTAGCACAACAAATTCACCAGATAGTCGTCGGTTAATACCTATATGTGAGTGAGTGTGTGTATGTGCGTGTGTATGTGTGTGTGGTTTATGTGCAATAGAGATCCTAAGTAGAATGAAGATGTGCTGTTGGAGCCCTTCAATCCAATCGACGGAACCCAAGTGGACAATAATGAATAAACAAACAAGAATAAGAGGAAACTGATTTCAGTGATGACGGCGGCGGTGGCGGCGTCAAGATTGAATAGTGGACTTCACTTCACAGAATCAATTAACAGTAGCCAGTCGTTTTATATTTCTCATGTATATTTTGCAGTTTAGTAATTAGTAGAACTTCAGTTTTGCCATTTCACCCGCCACCCACCCCCTATTCGAATGGATTTTCCCACAGTCTCTTTTCTTTATCACTTGTGACATTCATCTGAGCACCCACCGATCAGCACTTTTATTCGTAATAATAAGAAGTCACAGAGATTGTGGAGATTTAAACAGTTTGTGTGCTAAATATCATCTATTCTTATAAAGCCAGGTATATTGATCTTTCAATACGGATCCTCTATTTACACGGGGTTGAAGAACACAATTACTAACTCAGATGATGGCAAGAAGACACCCCAGCAGGATCTCTATGAGGACTGCAATACAAATGAACATTTTGTAGATTTTGATCGTTCTGTAGGTGACAACATTATTTCCTTAGGGTCTGTCTGTCTGTCTGTGTGAAGTGAATACAAGTCACATTCATTTTAATATTATTATTATTACATCTCATCAGGTTGAGATATAAGCAAGTATGCTCATGACTACTAATATGCTCATCACATTTCTAAATAATCATGGAATAAACACGTTTGAGATCCTCGTCAAGAATAAATAAGATAAAATGATTGCAGAGAGGAAACGTTTCTTCTCGATGAACTCATTACCAAGTGGAATGTACATTCGGGTACTTATAATAACTGGGCAGGAAAGTTTTCGAGAACTATTTTGGGTCAAGGGTCTAATTAAAAAAAAAGAAATCACAAGGTGTTATAAACACCATGATCGGATAAAAAAATTACTCCTGATTATTATTACTATTATTATTCCCTTGAGTTCCGGATGAAATGTACGCCTCGACTCGAGCGACGGCTGGCACAGACCACGACATTATTCGACATATGGCCTAACAAGCGTATGCCCAACCAGTCTACATCCATTTTCTCCTATATAGTAGTCGGCTTTTCGTTGGTTGGTTGGTTCGTTCATCACTAGATTTTAAAGTTCCTGATTCCCTCTGGCCAGCTGGATATTTGATCTTCAGTAAGGAGCCAGGAGCTAGTGAAGATGGCGGCTTTTCATAAATGTTTGCAGTGACCTGTTGGAAATCTTTTTCTCGGGACACACGCACACAGAAAGATTCTGACCAACTTACAAGAAATGCCTGACTGACTGACTGACTTCACTGGTATTTGTGTAAAACATTCAAATATTGTTGTTTATGCTGAGGTGGAGCGCTGAAGATTTGCGAAATGGTTTCAGGTTAATGATTCCTGCGTATCTTGCTTGTGTTTCTGATTCTGGCTGGCTGGCTGACTGACTGACTGGCTATCTGGCTTTGACGTTTTCATCCGTTCCAAGTGCCTGTGGTTGAAATGAGATGCTGACTACCTAGGCTAGATAACTAAATGCAGGAAGTGAACTCTGTGAAATCTTTCCCTTTGATCATCAAAGTCGTCTTTTGTGTCTATTCATCTTGGTGGTGGTGGTCATTGGTTGCTTGATTATTTTCATCATCCCCATCTTAACCTTCCCCTTCTGTTCACTTGCATAGAACCAGTCTTGTTCGTTTCTTTTGAGGAAACGCTTACGCTTCTTTGTAACTCCGTCCACGTATTCCTTCCTATTCATGGAGTTTCTCCTCCCCTCCACCACCACACACACACACACACTCACATAACCTTAGAAATCACCCAGTCATTCGGTAACAACAACAGTGCATTACAGAATGTACGGAGAAGTGAGTTGACCGAGTTGGCTTCTCTTCTTTTGCAATGAATGGTTACAGTCTTGATGTTATTTATTCTTGCGAACTCATCAAGTCCCTTCCTCTGTGACGTAAAACTGGTTTCTCTTGCTTCATTCAAATGTATTTGATGGTTTTTTTCACAACCGCTTGAGTTTGGTTTTAAACGTCTGCTCAAGAAACCAAATCCGAATCCGAATACGCTTCGATGCTGT